CGAAAGCTACAATCAAATAGCTTTCGCGTCGACAATCGAAACATACAATCAAATAGTTGCTTGGTAGAGAGCTGTGGGCAAATATTCATCTTCAAAACACTATGGATGTTGATTCCCGTCAAGCTCTCACAATGAAAGCTACAATCAAATAGCTTTCGGGTCGACAATCGAAAGCGGCAAATAGAGGACTTTTCACATAGATCGAGAAGAGTTACAATCCAACGACACTTCCGACAACTGATGAAAACTCTATTCAGCAGTCTTCACAATATACGGTGAAAGTTACAATCTGACGACTTTCATACCATACAACAGCTAAAGCCAGGATTACTGAACAACGGTCCTCGCAACGCTTCACAGAAGAAGTTACAAGTCAAAAAGCTCCTTCTGAAACGCGGATGTCATCCCTGCATTACAACTTGGGAAGTGCAGGCAACCCCCACGTTTCCAAGCCACCCCGTGTCTCCAAGATACAAGCTGAACGTGAGCGACCCTCGCGTTCGTAGGGGTCCAACCAACACCGACCCCCGCGTTTCCAAGCAGGCAACAAGCCAAAACGCGAGCGACCCTCGCGTTCAATGATGTTCAGCTAACACCCAACCTCGCGTCTCAATTCTAAGAGGCGAAGTTGGGTGCTAAACGCCAGATTGGGCGTTTGACTCGTTCAAACATGAGTCGAACGGTTTCAGAACCGTTTATCCCACGTTCTGAGGGATTTTCGCCCACGTAGGAGCGGATATAGGGGTCAGTTACAACCTCCTATCCCCCTATAAAAGCTCAACGAACCCAACAGAGTAGGGGGTTGGATTTTTGGCATCTGAACCACACAGGTTGGATTCTAAAGATCTAAACCGTACAGGTTGGAGATTTTTTAGTTCTAAAACAGATAAGGGCTGGCGTCTGGCTTTTTAAAAACAAAAGAGTTAGCAAAGATCGGATTTGGAAGATCTTAACCACTCAGGTTTGGCGATTCAACAGCAGTAGCGAAATCCTTGGAGATAGGATTTTTGAATCAAGCTCAGAAGATCAAATCTGAGAGGATTCTTCAACAACAGAATAACGGCTTGATCATTAACCGAATTTTCGGTTCTAACAACTCTATTCACAGAGTTCTAACTCGTTCAGAGTTCTTAAACTCATTCAGAGTTAAACATTAAACTTTCCACAGAAGTTCATCGTTCCCACGAGATAAGAGACGGTCGGATCGTCAACGGAGAGCAAATTCGACGCGAGCAATCGAAGGAGGCATTCCATCGCTACCGAGAAGAACCCAGTTTTAAACAAAGGAGAGAATCAAATTCGTTCTCTTCTCTTTTGTAATCAAGTTGTAATCGGAATCAAAGAAATACAAGTCAATTTTCTTTATTCTTTTCATTGCAATTTTTCCTACAAACAACGAGGTGCTGCTGGATTGAAGAGTCAAGGAGCACGAAATTTCAGCAAAGGTCAACGAGATCCCGACGAACTTCAGCACAAAGGAGGAGTCATTCGAAGGATCCGAAGCCCCGTACGTCCATTCCTTGAGATTAAGCTTGGTCTTAATCTCGAGAAGAGCTACTGATTTTGCTTGGTTGATTTTAGCGCTTCAAGCAAATACCTCCTTGGTGAGGTAGAAGCTCTGCCTAATTTTTTGTCAATCGGATCTGATTCGCGGTCGTCTATGAATAAACCCCAGCACCGGCGAAGAACCCACACAAGCAAGAGACGATAAACAAATCTTGTATTTATTTTCAAGAGAGTTGTAATTGTTTTATTTTTGTTATTTGAATTCATTTGTAACGATTGAAGTTTAATTTATTTTCAAGAGAGTTGTAATTGTTTTATTTTTGTTATTTGAATTCATTTGTAACGATTGAAGTTTAATGAAATCAATGATTATTTTTGTTATTTGAATTCATTTGTAACGATTGAAGTTTAATGAAATCAATGATGAAGGCAGCTTTCAATGAAAACAGAAAGGAGTCTAGCAAGCAGGTGGAGCTAGAGAGCTCAACTTCAAAAATAATGCTTGAGGGCACTCATGTTGAACCAGTTAATACTGCGGAAGGTTCAACTTTAGATTCTGATACACTGCAAAAGCAACAGTATAATATTGCCATCGGGAGAACAAAAAGGTAGATCCGACCGCCTCAATACTACACAGACATGCTTGCTTACGCTTTGAGTGTAGCAGAATTGATTGAGATTCTAGAGCCTTCTACCTATAAGGAGGCTATTAGTGGCAATGAGGCTGTAAATTGGACTGTTGCGATGACTAAAGAGATGAAATCTCTTCACAAGAACCAGACATAGGAGCTAGTGAAGCCACTAAGGGGACAAAAAATCGTTGGCTGTAAATGGGTCTTCAAGAAGAAAGAAGGAGCTCCGAATACAGATTCTATAAGGTATAAGGCACGCTTGGTAGCTAAAAGCTACAGTCAGACCGAATGTGTGGATTTCAATGAAGTATTCTCTCCACTTGTAAAACACATCTCAATCCGCATGTTGCTTGTCATGGTTGCTCATTTTAATTTGAAGCTTGAGCAACTTGATGTGAAGACGGATTTTCTACATGGTGAGCTTGAGGAGAAGATCTTTATGCATCAGCCAGAGGGTTTTATTGTTGAAGGTAAAGAAGACCATGTGTGCAGGTTGAAGAAATCTCTCTATGGGTTGAAACAGTCTCTGAGGCAGTGGTATTTAAGATTTGATACTTTCATGTTTAAGCATTGTTACTCTAGGAGTAAATATGATAGTTGTGTTTATCATAAAAAGTTCAATGATGGTTCTTTTGTGTATTTGCTTTTATATGTTGATGACATGTTGATTACAGCTAAAGATATGTCAGAAATCAATGAGTTGAAATCTCAACTCAAACATGAGTTTGAGATAAAAGACTTGAGAGCAGCAAAGAAGATTTTGGGGATGGAGATTCATAGAAACAGTTGAGAAGGAAGTTTATTCCTATCTCAAGAGAAATACATTAAGAAGGTGTTGAATAGATTTGGCATGCTTGATGCCAAGCCTGTGAAGACTCTGCTTGCCGCTCATTTTTGTCTTTCAGCAGATTTGTCACCTCAGACTAAAGAGGAGGAGCAGTACATGTTTTGTGTTCCTTATGCTAGTGTAGTTGGAAGTATTATGTATGCGATGGTCTGCACCCATCCAGATATTTTACATGCAGTCAGTGCTGTGAGTCGGTATATGGATAAGCCTAGAAAGGTCCGCTAGCAGGTTGTGAAATAGATACTTAGATATTTGAGAGGATCTGCTAATATTGGTTTGTATTTTAGTAGGAACACAGGCTCAGATTGCAGAATACTTGGTAATTCTGATTCAGATTATGCGGGTGATTTGGATAAGAGATGATCCCTGATAGGTTATATTTTTACTCTTTCAAGTAGTGCCATTAGTTGGAAGGCGACTCTATAGTCGACAGTTGTTTTGTCTACTACAGAGGCAGAGTATATGGTAGTGACAGAAGTAGTGAAAGAAGCTATTTGGTTAAGATGTTTGGTTGAAGATCTCGGCTTACACCAAGGTGTTACTATGGTGTTTTGCGTAAGCCAGAGTGCTACACATTTGATGAAGCATCAGATGTATCATGAAAGAACAAAACATATAGATGTCAGGTATTATTTTATTAGAGAAATTAAAGTCATCAGAATTGATAAAATTGGTACTACAGATAATCCAGCAGATATGATAACGAAGCCCGTACCTTCGCACAAGTTCGAGCATTATCTCGAATTGTTTGGAGTTCGACAAAGCAGAGGTTAAGCCCGTAAGAGGCTTCTGACGAGACAACAAGAGTAAAGAGAATATCTTCATTTTTCAAAGTCAAGGTGGAGATTTGTGAGAAACGTGACTTTGAAAATGTCTTCATCTGCCTAATTTGTGATTGCTTTTTAAAATTAACAGCCCATTTGTCAGACCTCACCAACTCTTTTCTATTTTTTATTATTTTCTTATGGCTATATAGGGGGGGTGAGGGGAGAGGGTTTAATGCATCAGTCGGAGAAAAAAATAGAGAGAGAAGAGAGTAAGATAGAAAGGTTTTGTCCCTTTCTTTATGAGAGTCTCTGGTTAGAGAGTGGTCTCTTCTTTTGTAATCTTCTCTTTTGGTGATTAGTGAAGTTCTCTGTTGTTCTCGCCCGTGGACGTATGTCATACTGATTGAACCATATTAAATCCTTGTGTGATGTTCTCTTTTTCCACTCTTGTATAGATATTTTTGTGTCTGTGAAGCCCCTCCGCTACAACACACACGTCACCTTAACTTTCTGCAACTCATTAGACTCAGGTCAGTTTGTTTCAACCCATACACAGTTCATAAGTATGGTTTGAAAGGATTGTTTGGGCTTCTAGTTCAAAACCAAGCGTTTTCTCAATTTTTTTATCTATTCAATAAAAGAAACGTAAAAATGTTATAAGGATTTTAGTTATCATAACATGCAAATGAAAACACGATATCAATCTCATATAAGTTATTAATTTCAATATGTATATATATTGTCATGTCCATGTATCCTATCTTATACAAATTTTTCGTGTCCTATACCCGCACCTGTATTTGTGTCTGCATCCACACCCATAACCATGCACTGCATCCACACCAACATAACCATGCAATCTAGCTTTTGAATTAAACTTTCCTTGTTCATTGACTGAGGAAATGATATCTTGAATGAAAAAAAGAAAGGAGAAATCTTCATACAAAATCCCTATCTCAGTTGATGAGGGCAAGGCTAATGTTCATTGTTTCCATTATTATCTGATTTGAGCTGTTTGATGTTGATAATTTTTTTTTTGAAAACATACATAACTCAGAAAATCTTTGGTTTGAACCCTCTATGATTCTTCAAGATCTCAAATATAAGGAGTCTAAATCTATATACAAACATTTTACATATTTGAGCTTGCCTCTTTCTTATCTTTGTTGCAATGTGGTACATTTTCTTGTTACAAGGTATCATGTTGCTTAACTAATTTATCAAGTTACTGCTTCGCTGAAATTTCAGATGACTAGACTTTTGGACATCCTTGAAGATTATTTAATGTTCCGTGCATACCAGTACTGTCATATAGATGGAAATACTGGTGGAGAAGAACGTGATGCTAAAATTGAAGCCTTCAATCAACCTGGAAGTTCAAAGTTTATCTTCTTGCTTTCAACAAGAGTAGGCGGCCTGGGGATTAATCTTGCCACCGTAGATATAGTTATCCTTTACGATAGTGACTGGTAGCTCCCTCACCTCAAGTTTGCTGCATATCTTGTCAATCTTTTTCCTGCATCTTTTTTTCCTCCCTTTTTTCTTTAAACCTTTTCCTGTTTATAGGAACCCTCAGGTTGATTTACAAGCTCAACATCGGGCGCATAGGATTGGTCAAAAGAAAGAAGTTCAAGTGTTCTGTTTTTGCACAGAGGTTCGGCTAACCTTTCCATGTTAAAGAATGTTATTTGAATTTGATGATGCAACTATGACAATGCAACTATGATAATGCAACAACATATATTCCATAAAATTGCAGTACCCTATTGAAGAAAAAGTGATTGAGAGAGCATATAAGAAACTTCCATTTGATGCTTTGGTGATTCAACAAGGGCGCCTAGCCGAGCAGAAAAGTGTGCAGTCATATGCCGATAGTTTTTATGGTTTCTCTTGCTATGAACTATGTTTAATGAAGCTAATGCCTTAATTAATGCTTTTCTTTTTTGTTGATGCAGCTGTGAATAAAGATGTGCTGTTGCAGATGGTGAGGTTTGGTGCTGAAATGGTTTTCAGCTCCAAGGACAATACACTAACAGATTAAGATGTTGACCGAATTATAGCTAAAGGAGAAGAGGCAACAACAGCCCTTGATACTAAAATGAAAAAGTTCACAGAAGATGTCATCAAGTTTAAGATGGATGACAGTATGCTTACTAGTTTATTTATGTTCCTGTTCTTCACATGAATCAAAATTTTCACTTCATAAATTTTGTCTTAATTATGTGCAGATGCTGATTTGTACGATTTTGATGATAAGAAGGTACCTTAGTTCAGTGTTACAATCTCTCGCCTAAATTAGTTTATGATATTTAATGCATGATCTATTTGTGTTGAATGCTTCACTGTGCCATTGTTCCAGTTTTATTATTGCTATTCTTATTGTTCCTTGATTTTCTATATGTAGGATGATGATAATTAAAGTTGACTTTAAAAAACTTGTTAGTGAGAACTGGACAGAACCATCCAAGAGGGAACGTAGACACAAGTATGTCTATACCATTGACCACCAGATTGCCCTTTTTTTGTAATCTACTAAGTTACCCATTTGTTCTTGCAGTTATTCTGAACCGATTACTTCAAACATGCATTACGCCAAGGTGCTCCAACAAAACCAAGAGAGCCACGGATTCCCCGAATGTCGCAGCTGTAAGCTTTATCAATTGCTGATTTTTCCCTCGTTACATAATAAAATACTAATCACTTTCTCCATTTTAATTTAATTTTCAGGCATGACTCTTAGTTTTTTAACGTCCAAAGATTGAACAACTTATATGAAAAAGAAGTACGGTATTATCTTGCGGTGTGAACGTGGGGCCACGAATAGCCAGCAGACGCGTTTTCAGCAAACATATTTTTTCTTTCAAAAACGTGTGGGGGCCACAACGTGGAGAAGTTGTTCAGCGGACCACAACATGGAGAAGTTGTTCAGCGAGCTAAGAGGCCCACCCGAGATCAAACCTGCGTGCTTATAAATGCACGCTGAACAAAAACCCTAGGGCTGTGTGCAAAGAGGGTGTGTGCAGGCAGAGAGGAGAAATTAGCTTCGATCAAATAGAGCAGAGGCTTGGTGTAGAGAGGAAAAGGCGGCATACAAAAACATCAAATCCTTTTCTCAGTTGTGCAAAGGCAGAGGGTTTTCTTAGGCTGCGTGCAACAGAAAAATCAGAGGCTCCTTTGGCTCTTTTGAGAGAGAGATTATGAGGGATTTGAGAGATTGTTTGAGGATTTTGGTTGTGAGATTGTAAACCCTAGTTGTATTCTCTCGCTCTAATTGTAGATCTTCCCCCTTCTTGTCCCGTGGATGTATGCAATTTACCGAACCACGTAAAATAGTTTGTTTTATTATGATTTGTAATAGCTTGTAGGTTCCCTCAACAAGTCAGTACTAGAACTGATGAGAGGAAGAGCTGATATCTCACTTTGTTGAGATAGTTTGCTTTCGGTTCTTGTTTTTTTTGTGAAACGGGAATTTCGTTGTGATCTAATCTCTTATTGTGCACATTGCGTACCGGAGGTGCTGGCAAAATTTTCGTTGTGCACAACAAGTGGTATCAGAGCTTCAGGTTTGGCTTGAGGCTTGTTCGAAGGATTCGGTGAAGGATTCCTATCTAAAGAGTTAGATCGACAACATGGGAGAAGTATCTTAGTAAGAGCATTGAGAATCAGCTTTATTTGAATAAGAGGTTTTACCAGTTCAAGATGAAGAGGGTAGTTTCCATTAGGAAGCATGTAAACAACTTCACGAAGCTACTTTCAGATATGGTCAATGTGGATATCATGGTTGAGGATGAAGACAATACGATGTTACTTTTGTGTTCGTTGCCCGAGGATGATTATGATACGTTCGTTCTCACTATGATCAATGGAAGAACTATTGTTAGATATAAGGAGGTGACCTCAATTTTGGTAAATTATAAGTTGAGGAAGAGTGATGGTGAACCCTCCGAGAAGATATCGGGAGATGCATTAGCAGTTCGAGGTCGTGATCTAAACCGTCGCCAGTTCAACCGCTCAAAATCAAAAAATAGAGGTGGCCAAAAGAGTATTGGTAGGAATCAATGTCTCTTTTGTAAAGAAGAGGGACATTGGAAGATCGACTGCCCGAAGTTGAAGGAAAAAACCAGGAAGAACAAGGGAAAAGTTGTACAAGCTTCAGAAGTGAATGATGTAAAAGCCATTGATGAATATTCAGAGTCAGATTCTTCGGGCTATTCGTGTCATGTACTACTGTTGGTTTGCTATGCCGACTCTACGGAGTGGATGTTGGATTCAGGAGCCACATATCACATATGCCCTAGGAGTAATTGATTATCTAGCTTTGAGGAGCTGGAAAGAGGGGATGTTGTGCTTATGAGAAATGATCACGTATGTCCTATTGATGATATTGATTCAGTCCGGATTAGGATGCATGACGGAGTGGTGAGGGAATTGAAAGAAGTGAGGTTCGTACCGCAGTTGACAAAGAACATTATTTCTCTTGGTACTTTGGAGGCAGCTAGTTATCGGGTGACCTTAGAGGATGCTACAGTAAAGGTCACGAAGGGTTCTATGGTGGTGATGCAAGGAGTCAGAGAAAAATTCCTATACTACTTGAAGGGCAAGACAGTTACAAGGGGGTCTGGCAGCTTCTATCACTACAGAGGAGGACGCTACCACATTATGACACATGAGACTAGAACACACAGGAGATAAGTCCCTATAGTCATTGGTAAAACACAGACTATTGAAAGGTGCTAAAACCTGCAAGATGGAGCTGTGTGAGCATTGTGTACTTCGGAAGAAGACTAGAGTGAAGTTTGGCACCGCTATTCACAACACCCAAGGTACATTGGATTATATTCACACAGATGTTTGGGGTCTTTCTAAGAATACATCACTTGGTGGGGCTAACTATTTTATTACTTTTATTGATGACTATTCCAGGAGAAATTGGGTATACCTTATGAAGTATAAACATGAGGTCCTGGATATTTTTATGGAGTGGAAGAAGAAAGTGGAGCTGTAGACAGGTAGAAAGGTGAATACTCTTCGCTCGGACAATGGAGGAGAGTATAAGAGTGATCCGTTTCTGTAGTTTTGTCGGGATCATGGAATTAGGTGATACTTCACAGTTCGAGAGACACCGCAATAAAACGGGGTGACTGAGAGATTGAACCGTACCTTGCTGGAGAAGGTACGATGTATGATGACGCAGAGTGGATTTCCTAGATCCTTTTGGGCCGAAGCGTTGGTTTATGCGAGCCATCTCGTGAATAGGTTGACGTGCACTGTAATACAGAGGAAGACTCCGTTGGAGCATTGGTTTGGTTCGGTAGCTAGTGACTATGAGTCGCTTCAGATATTTGAGTGTCTAGCTTATTACTATGTTAGTGATGGTAGATTGAATCCGAGTGCGAGGAAAGCAGTCTTTGTGGGATTTAGAGATGAAGTTAAAGGCTTTAAGTTATGGGATCCACATGACAAGAAGATAGTTATTAGCAGGGATGTCACATTTAATGAGGCGTACATGATGAAGCCTCAAGTTCCTCAGCAGGTGGAGGATGATGTGACTCCACTCACTCCAGAGAGCATTGTATCCATCGATGCTCCTACAGAGGTGATACTGGTAGGGGTGTGCAACGGTCGGTTCGGTTCGGTTTTTACCAAAATTTGAACAACCGAACCGAACCGCCTATAATTCAAAACCGAACCGAACTATTGCAAGTCGGTTCGGTGCGGTTCGGTTCGGTTTGTTCGGTTCTAACTTCATCAAACTTCTTATCAAACAACAAACTGTGTTAAAGAAAAAAAATATCAACAAAGTAGGAGATTATGAAGCATTAAACACTGATATAATGATATTGTTTTCAACCCATAATGATCCAGAAAATGTGTTTAGAGTTTGAGTCTTTGACTTTTTGGGGACGGGTCGGGTAGGGTTTGAGATCAGAATGGGTAGTATTGCACTATATTCGGTCGGTTCGGGTCGGTTCGGGTTGAAATGTTTTCAAACCGACCCGAACCGCCCTACTCATAAAACCGATTTTTTCGGGTCGGTTCGGATCGGTTCGGTCGGTTTTTTCGGTTTGGACCGAACCATGCACAGCCCTAGATACTGGGAGGAGATGGGATGACAGCCGGGCAAATAGAGGATACGGTGAATTGTGAGACTCAGGAAAATGGTCATGTTCAGGAGTCAATTACAGCGAATAGGCCTAGAAGGGTGATTCATCGGCCAGCTAGGTACAATGATATCATGGTCGCATATGCATTATCAGTGGAGGTCATTGATGATATGGTTTCATCCACATTTAGGGAGGCAGAGTCTAGCCCTGATTCGATCAGGTGGAGGAAAGCTATGGAGGAGGAGATACGATCTCTTCAGAAGAACGACACTTGGGAACTTGCAAAGCTACCTAAGGGTAAAAAAAACTATTGGTTGTAAGTGGGTATATGCGAAAAAGGAGGGAAACAGGCTCGAAAAGACAAGAAGATTGCAAAGGTTTGTCCTATATCTTCTTAGCTTGGGGAAATATAGTATTAAATTTGGTATGCTTTTATGTTGGCATGAGAATTTAAAGTGTATTAATGATGTTACTTGGTTTTCTTCCTCTTGATTCCTTATTAATGCCAAGATAGCTATTTTAACAGTGACATACCTAGCCACAAATCTGAAGTTCCTACACTGTTAGAATAGTTTTTACATAGACTACCTACTGGAGGGATACTCTCCATCATCTCTAATATGGCATAGGCCCTCTCGTCATGGCATGTGCCATGCTACATCTTATGCTAAAAGGCATATCACCATAATAACTTGGATGAATAACAAAATTAGATGATCTGACTCAATTATATTGAACACTCAATTCGCAACCAATCCAATTGTAGTGATAGTTTGTTGCCTTAATACTTGTCCTTTTACCTATAGAAATTATTAAAGGGCGTCCTATTATTGTAAAAAAAAAAAGGAAAAACATGGGCTTAACGTCTGCTTTGTGCCATCCCTCTCTCTATTATTCTCGTTCTTAATAAACGGAATTTCTCACCTACACAGCTACCCAAGTTTCCAATTTCATGTCCCCACAGAAAGCTACCTTTTGACCCGTACACGTTTATTTATACATTTATTTATACCAAAAGAAAAAGGTCGCACCCAACTCTTCTACTAGTAATTAATAGTCTCTCTCCATCTGTAATCTCTCCGAGGGCTTCTCTTGCTAACACTCGTACTCGTTGAAGCAACGTTCAGAGCATCAATATGGGCGTGTGCACGCTCACGTTTGTGGTGTTGTGCAGCATGGTTGTTTTTGTTGTCGGAGGTGAAGAAGGATTGGCAGCCTCCTTCATTTTCGGTGACTCGCTTGTTGACGCTGGGAACAATAACTTTCTTCCGACGTTGGCGAGGGCCAATTTCCGGCCGAACGGTATTGATTTTGAGGCCACCGCCGGTGAGCCCACTGGCCGGTATACCAACGGAAGAACCATTGCGGATATAGTTGGTATGTACTCTTCCTTCTCTCTTTTTCTTACTATCTCGATTTGAATTTGTGGGCGCCTAGTTATGTAACCAACCGAGGATATAATCTCCAGGGGACTCTTTGGTTAGCTGCGACCGCATGGATCGTAATTGCTTTTGCATATAACTACATTTTCCCATCAGTTACAGCTAGCTCTTTGTTTCACTGTTTCTCCTTCCTATTTCTTGTTCTCTTGGCTATGTAAAAACGTAGGATATAATTTCCATGGTAATGTTTGGTTTGCTGCGACAGCATGAATTGTAAATGTAGTTGCGTATTTAACTAGGATATTTTGGATTAGTTGTAGACCGCAGTTGCCAAAGGCCTCCGAGGGCAGAGCCACAATTTATGCTTAGTTTTTTATGGTCATAGTCGCAACGTGTTTTTGTCTATGAGTCGGGTTGAAGTTGCAACTTCAATGGGAACCATTTCAAGCAAGTCTTGAAAAATGGTGATATCCCAACTCAAACACTTACAACTACACCTACAAATATAAATTGTGAATTTTTAAAATTTAAAGCAAAATATGATAACATGAGACAACAGTTATAGTAACTGCAGTTGCATGCAACTAACAGTTGTATTGTAATTACAGTTATGTTGATCCAAACGATCCTCAAATGTAGTTGAGAACATAATCCTAGCTATGCACAAAATAAATTTGTACTTCCAAATAAAGATAGCAAAAATTTAGATATTGAGTACTCATCATGCATATAGTCTTATCTTATAGAATTCTTTTTTTCCATATTAATTTTCTTTTTCATGTAGGAGAGTTATTGGGCCAGGCCAACTATGCACCACCATTTCTATCTCCAAATACAACTGGCAAAGCTATACTCTATGGAGTGAACTATGCATCCGGAGGTGGAGGAATCCTGACCCAAACAGGACGAATATTCGTATGTTCCCTCAACTTTATAAATCTCATTCTACCTGAAAGCGAATTAGCTTTTGGAATTAATGCAGAAGCTATTGTTTTGATAGAGTAATATAAAATGTTAAATACTTATATATATGAATTTTCTACCGTTGATACTAAGATACTGTCTTTGTTGCAGATTAATAGGCTTGGGCTAGATGTCCAAGCTGATTACTTCAACATTACAAGACATCAAATTGATGATCTCATAGGAAAATCCAAGGCAAAAGAGTTCATAATGAGAAAATCCATATTCTCAATCACCATAGGATCAAATGATTTCCTCAGTAACTATCTCCTTCCTGTTATCTCCATGGTTGAAAAGATGAGTGAGACCCCAAATGACTTTGTGGATCATCTCATCAATCACTTTGAAGGCCAACTCAAGGTAAAATTTCTTTATTGATTCTCTTTTATTTATTTATTTATTTTGATATGCAACATTAAATTCCTAGAATGTTGCATTGCTTGATAAGATACGTAGAAATTATAAGGAGTTACTAGAAATGAGTTGCCGCCTAATTTACCAACATGATATTTCAAGAGAGAGAAATACTAAGGTCTACATGTTATGACGTTCATAGCAAAATGAACCTCGCAACTCCTATATTTCTGAACGACTCGTTAAAATTGAGATGTCAGCTAGCTTATACATTTTTGTCTTTTTTTGGGGGGGACCTATAGAGGATCAGTTAGAAAATCATACTAGAATATAGGAGGGATTGGCGTGTGTCTTCCATTAAAGATTTTAGTATTGATAATTAATTAAAGAGAAGGGAGAAGATGGGAGAATTATATTTTATTCCACTCAATATAATGAAACAATTACATGTATATATATACATCAATACTGCAAGAATCATCTAAACTAGGAAAGTATATAAATAAATATGAACACAATATTTAACTAAATCCTTAAATTAATTTTGTCGAATCAGCCAGCCTTTGTTTCCCTGCTTTGGATGGATTTGGTATCTCTATCATGCCCCCGCAAGATGGACAACCGACCGGTAAGTCCAATCTTGGTTTGGAGAAGTTGAAATCGTTGACGAGAGAGAGGCTTAGTGAGGGCATCAACCAGTTCATCAGCCGAGGAGACATGAGCAACACGAAGCAAGCCGTTTTGAACCTGTTCTCGAATGAAGTGATAATCGAGAGCCACATGCTTCATACGAGAGTGAAAAACAGGGTTGGCACAGAGGTTAGTGGCACCAACATTGTCACAATTAATGACCAATTGATGTGGAATGGTAACACCCAGTTCAGTAAGTAGGGAACATATCCAACTAAGTTCAGCTGCAATGGCAGCCACAGAGCGATACTCTGCTTCAGTGGAGGAGCGTGCAATAGTGCGTTGTTTCTTCGAGCTCCAAGAAACAAGGTGTTAGCCCTCATGTTTTGATGATGTTCTTACAACCACCATTATCGATACTAATGGCTTATTGAGTGTAAATGTAGTAAATCATTTGTCAAGGCCGGTAGTGCGCATTAACGGAGGATGGATGGGAATATACGCTAAAACGAAGACATCTAAAGAACGAGGAGCCAACAAAGATTGAAAGCACGTATTCAAGAAACAACAAAGCATAATAAAAGCTTCAGCGATTCAAGCTTTATAATCAACACTCGAAAGTATTGCTTGTTCAATATGAGGATATTAGCTTTGCTTTTGGTTCTTCTCTGCTAGTGCTAGAATGTAGGCAAAGATATAATGGAGTTTACTTGAAGCTATTGGGAATCACATCACACAACTTTTAGACATTGGTGTCTTTAAGGCGGTTATTTTTTCACAAATCACTATTTCATTCACAGTATGATACCGGATATCTGCAAATTCAATTCTTGCTGCAAACAGCTTTGCTTTAGTAGTTAAAACATTACAAAGTTTCAGACATTTCAGAGTAAAAATGACTATCTTGCAAATATTTTCAAGTTGATCAAAACCTGTTTCTGGGAAAAAAATATGTATCAGCAAATCGGGTCGGACGCGCCCGGTCGAGCCGATTCCTAGTGGCCAGTTCTTAGTATCTTCAGACTTCTGTACGTGCGGTGCGAGAGCCGAGTACGCGGTCGAGGCCAGAATTTTCATATACATTCAAATCGTAAGGACCGTATTCGGTCAGAGCGGCGATTAAGGAGGGAGCCCCCTCTGATGCTTTTCGCAGAATTCTTGAGCTCAGCGGTCGACGCGAGAATTTTTACGGTAAGGCAATCGCAGGGCCGACGGTAATTTCGGTCAGACGGCGGATTATTTCTTCGGTCACCCGATTGGTCAGCCGCGGTTTTTCGTAAAACGAGGGTCGTTTTTCGCCTCGACTCCTGTCGCTTTTCAGCTATTAGTGGATGTGGACCACAGGTCATGAGGTCAAACCTGCAAAAAGTAGATATATTTTCCTAATAGGATAGATGGGTTTGTTGTTTTTATTGATTCAAACTCTTTTATAAAACCCCCAAATCCTGCTTCTTCGTTCTCTAAGCTAACGTTGAAAGAGAACCAGAGAAGCTCTGTTCTGTCCTGGAGAAAATTTTCCAAAATCAACTGTATCTCTGAATCTTTCTTGTGGTGACGACAGAGAAGCTTCTCACAGTAGTCCAGCGCCGTTCGGTACCTTGCATTCTCCTTGTCTATATGGGGCTTTGTGGATAGTAGTGTCTTGCAGTTTAACTTACTGGCTGCTGAGTGAGTCGAGATATCTTGGTGAGCGGAGTCCGAAGACTGGTGAAGGGAAGTACGTGCAGCTCTAGTGAATCAGAACTGTGCAGTTGAGAGCAGAGAGTCTATGTGGATCATTGTGTAGACCCCGAATTCAGGTCCGGCTCGCCGAAACCAGAATCGGTTAGTCGGACTCGTGTTCCTCCTCGGAGAGTGGGGAGAGGGGCGGCCACGGGCGTAGGTGCACGATGCGACCGGGCGACCGCCGGAGCCACTCCCGTTAACGCCCCGAGGATAGATCAGACATCGCGCGAGTCGAGAGTCATTAGAACGAGCTCACCTCCGGGAATCATTCGATACTAGTGCGCCACTTTCTTGGTACTTGATAGCAGGCATCTGTTGACGTCAGGCCGGGCGGACAGCACGGAGCGTGCGCGATCAAGGCACGACGGGAGAGTTATGCGAAGGAGGCTCGATGGTTTAGTCCGGCGTCTCCGGGTTACTTTGTTTCGCGTTACGCGGCGTTGGGATTTGTTGTATTCACGTTTCTTGAGTCCGACCGGGTGTTGTTGTGATCTTTGGAGGCTTGTTTGTACTTTCGTTTGTTGTGTGAGATGTGCATATAAGGCCTCTGGCGCGGCTAATCAGCCGCCCCTCTAAGGCGACTGGAGGTGTGCTCCGTTCCAGGATTGTATCAGAGCTCCGTGGGGTCACACATGTCAAGTACTCCAGTGTTGTGTGTTTACAGACCTAAGAAAAGATCTAATGGGACGCATTCTTGAATATGCATGTCCTTAGAGAGCGACAATCCTCTTACATCCCGCTAGGCCACTCTCTTCACCGACACTAGCTAATTTCTTGGCTTAGTGGAAGAAGCGAGATAGAGAACTTTGACGACATTCCGTGCGACTGAGACCTTGGCGCCGACATTAGCCTACAGGGGGTTCTAGAAGAGAATAATAGAGAGGCAATCCAAGTCGGGCACTCCCGGATGACCGATGGCGAAAGCACGCTAAGCTACATTCGAGCGCTAAGCGCTATG